GTCTTAAAAAGTGACCCGCGCGAAAAGCTTCGCCGCTCGTGTCTTCGGCCTACGGCTGGCGAAACGAAGCTCCCTATCGCACGCGAGAAAAAAACCTCTGGTACCCAGGGTAGATTTTACTTTCCGGGGATGAAAAATAAAGCAAAAACATTTAACAAATAAACAATTTTTGACACAAGTAATTTAAGAGCGGCATTTGACAGTTCAACCCAGGCAGAATATTTCAGACGGTTTTCTTTTTTTTTTTTTAAAGAGACTTTTCGTTTTCAACTGGAAATTGTTGTTGACACTTAATGGAGTAAAACAATAACCTCCACCTATCATTTTATAGTTTCAGGAAATTTGGGAAAGAGTCGATCAGTACGCATTTTGGAAACCGGATATTCTTCTCGACAAGTGCTTAAGTAACAACAAGTAATTAAAAAAAAAAACAACAACTGTATAAATCCATTCATGTTACTCTGGTAACAGGAACCCTCTCTTTTTGAGTATCTTGATTATTATAGATATGACTCTTGAAAACTGCCTCTGGAGGCCAAACAAAGCTCTCTAATTAAACTCACCAACACTGAGCAAACTGTAATATTCAATTTTGTGGGACTAATTGCATATGAGCAGATGTTACGTTCTTTATCGTGAAAGCGATTAGTTCTAACTGAAAATAAATTGAAGGCGGTGAATGGGTTTTTTTTTTTTTTTTCAGTTTCCACTTAATTTGAATTAAAGATTCAGCTGACCACGTCACGGGATCACTTTCGAGAAATCCACAATTCTCATGCGTCGCTTTCAATTCAACTGTCAAAAGACAGCTGTGAACATCTTCATTCAGTACGATGTCTTGGTTTTACATCCTTGGTTGGTTTCCAAGCGTTGTTGCAGTCTTTGGAAATGCCCTGGTTGTGTTTTTAATTGCCTCCAGGCCACGATTACACACACGGCCTAACTGGTTTATCACGTCCCTGGCTTTGGCTGACTTTGCTGTTGGCTTCATCTATTTTCCCACCAATTTTCTGTGCGGAGAACGTTCCCTTTGCAAGAACGAAATAGCTCAAGATATAGCTGTACTGGCGATTTATTCATCAATAACGAATTTATGCGCTCTGGCAACTGACCGTTACATAGCTATCATGGAACCTTTGAGGTACGTAGCATGGATGACTACTCGTCTAGCCACAATCATTATAGCTCTTGCGTGGCTCATACCATTAATTCTCGACTATATTCCAGCTTTATGCACCCGCCTGGGAAAGTGCAACTTAGAAAGCAAAGCTCTCGTATCGACCAAGATGATTTTGTTCGAGATTCTTCCCTGTCTGTTTTTGCTTATAACCACGACACAAATCATAATAACTGCAAAAAGACATTGGCGTAAAAATGCTCTTCTTAACTCCCAGTTACAATACAATGAGCCTAATCGCCAAAGAACAAAAGACTATGCCGCAGCCACAGTAATCGTTATTGTAGTCGTAATTTTTCTTGCCTGCTACTCCGTTGAACTGTACAGTGTTGTTGGTTTTCTAGTTTTTTCTTCCGATCCATCAGAAAAAGTTGTGGAAGTTATTAGTTTCCTTATACCCGTAAACTGTGCTGCAAATCCGATCGCGTACGCTCTCTTCAAACGAGACATTCGAAAAGAACTCCAGAAAACGTACAGGAAGCATGTGATCCCAAGACCTCGTTCCACTGCAAGTACAGCAGTTTGAGAAAACTAAATCGGTGAATGTTTTTGGACTTGGTATCGTCGGCATACATTCTTGGTCTCGAGCTAATTGATACCAGGGAAGACTGATAATGAACAACAGTGGGGCTAGAAAAGATCCTTGAGGGAATCAACGAGGAAACGTTCAAAAAATCACAACGTTGTACGTTCCAGCGTTTTCAAACGTTGCAACCGGAAAAAAAAAACAAAAACACAAAAAACTAGATTATGAGTAGTCTCTTAAATTTCGGAGTTAAACAAACGACTCTACCACAAAACTATAGCTCGATAAATATGCATGGATCGCATGGACCTACATGTTCTTTGAAACGTTGCGGTTTTCTTGAATATGTGTACTAAAATCATGTGTGTTGGGAAGAGTTGGAGAGGGGGAAAGGTGAACATAACGCTTTTTTTATACTACTCACAAACAAGTTCTCCAAATCATTCTTATACTTAATTAATCCCACGAAATAATTATGCATACTTCTTTAAACCACGACTGTTGCACGTGTGTTGGCCCATGCATGATGAAGTGCGATTCACCCATATTGGGGGGGGGGGGGGGGG